TAACGGTCATCCCGATTACATTATATCATTTTTTTCTCCCAGCCTGAGCACGATTTTTTCATTGGAAATACAAATAAAAGATCAAGTTGCAAGCGTTTTGAAGTTCTCTCTATTTTTTAATGGAAGTAAAAAAAATGTATTGAGGAAGCAAACGATTGCTAAACAATTATTAATTTTTAAGTTTCTTCTTGTAAATTTATAGTATATGATTATGTGTATATATACACATATATTATTATTTATGTTTCTAATGTTATTGTACATTTAATATTCTTTTTTTTTATATATCATATATCTTTCAAAAAATCTTTTAAAAAATATGTTTTATATTTTTAGTTTGAGTATTGTCGAAACTATTTTTTCTAACTTTTTTTAAGACGTTACAACCCTTACATTGACGTAAAATATAATTTGTAATTTTGTTTAATATTTAAAATTGATATAACTATATAGTTATATTATTATAATAACTCTGACACGAAGTCGCGTTTAATTAGCTCCGTGTCAATTTTGATATATTGACATAACTATATGGTTATATTAATATTAAATATTAGGCACAATATTTAAAGTTAATTTAAAATGGCCATGTTGCTCCAACATAAGTTTACGTTAGTTTAACGTTAATATCTTACAATATTCTAACTTTAGAACTTTACGTTACAATACCTTTCAATTTCGTCAAACCAACTACATTGTGCTAACATAAAGTCTAACGTTAGTACAACGTTAAGCAAAGTTGTGCGCCGGCTGGGAAAAGACTTAAAACTAATCAATTTTTTTCTGAGAAGAAACACTCTGGTCATCCAACATCCTGAATTAGAGAAAAGAATGCCGAATTAGCGAGACTGGACAACAATGGAAAAAGGGTCAGCCAGAGAAAAATAGGTTTTACACTCGGTGAAACTCAATTATCTATTGGTTTTCAGTTAAAATAAATGAATATTTAATATAGAAAGCGTGAAAAGATTCTAAAATAAACTAAAGAACAACAATTAAAGGAAAAGAAAAGGAATTGATGACAAAAAATATTTTTGTTTTGCAGAGGACAACATCCCTGGAAATTCCGTATACTACACAAACAACAAAAAAAGATGGCCAAAAAGTGTTCTTGAGTATCATGAAAGTGTTCACAAGTATCATGGAAACTTTAACTATATATTTTGGCCAGATTTAGCACGATTTAGAGAATCTAAAAATTCTATAAACTGAATGATGTCTATAATGTTGATAAAGAATCCAAACCCCCAAATATGCCTCAAGCACAACCAATTGAAAATTTTTGAAGACGTTTGGCACAGAAGGTTTACAAGGAAGATTGGTAAGCTTCAAAAGAACAAGTTTTTTATTGATCGAAATAAAATAAATTTACAAAAAATTGATTTAAATTTAATACTGTCGCTTATAAAAGACGTCAGAACAAAATTGAGATCAATTGCAGATGGTGGTGTTTTTTCATTTAAAAAAACAACTCAATTTTATTACAAGATAAAAACTTCTTCTAAAATAAAATAATACAAGTTATTTTTTATTTATAAATAAGGTACTGACGTTTTTAATTTGTGCGATAACCAATGCATCGCTTGTTAGACTTAAAAATTGGGGTGGAAATGAAAAATTGTTAATCGATGAAAATTAGAGAGATGTTATAAAAAATTTGATGCATTTTCAAGTACATCAATTCTTTATCAATATTCAGATGGTTGCTATGAACAAAGCAAGAAATAAGCAGTCTTATGGTCTTGATACTTTCTTTGAAAAAACAATAATTCAAAAATATACTCATTGCCATTACTCTTTCTGAATGAAAGTATTACAAGCATCAGCAAGCTGGTAGGGTTCAGCAGGATATTAAAAAAAGTGAGCAGATCTTACCACCTTCCATTTACAAAGCAGTGGCGTCCCTGTGATTGGTGTCACCCAGTGCGATAAACCTTTGGTGTCACCACTCTAGACCTTCAGTAACAGAGTCGACGACACGGATTAATCTTTTAATCTTGACGAAAAATTTTTATGTGATATGAAACAGTAAAATAAAAAAAATAAAAAAAAATTAATAAATAGCAGAATTAATAATAAAGAATATCTAAAATTCAAAACCTGAAAACTATTAGTTAGGCTAAACACAAAAAAAAATTTACACAAACATGAACAGTCCTATCATTACTAAATTTTATTAATTTTGGTGCCACCCCGTGTGTCAGGTCTTGATGATATTACCCAGTACGGCTCGCACATTTTTGTTTATGGCAAGGATTGGTCAGCTTTTGACGTTAAAGCAGAGTAAATAATTGTGAAAACAATAAAAATATTTCAAATAAGTGAGACCGAAAAAAAAAGATCAGTTCCAAAAATCAGGAAATAGTACTATGTTTCCATCATTCTGAGCCAACCTTGCATAAAAATCTAAAACCCCCTACTTACGAGGGGGAAAAAACAGAATAATTTTAATCTAAGTGTCCTGGCGTGTAACTAAAGTTGCTAGTACGAACGTGTTCAAGTTTGTACGTTCCAGCTTTATGCAAAAATTTTAACGTTCATGTTCGAACTTTTTTCTCCAAATAGTTCGAACTTTATTATTTTAAAAAATGTTTTTATTTTCATTAATTTTTGTAAAAACAGCTAAGATATTAGTAAAAATTATAAAATTCACACCTTTTAGCTAATTTTTGTTTTATGTTTGTCTGGTAACTCTGAAAATATTATCATGTTAGATCACCTGTAGCGCTATCGTATTTAAGATACGATCGGTTTTTCCATATTAAAAAAGTAGATAAACAGTACCTGCTACTTTTTCACCATTTTGCCACTGTTTATTTACGTTTAAAATTAAAATAAAAAGACTTTAAAATTCAAACAAAAAATGGCTGTTCAGCGTTAGCACATCTAGACGATATGAAGTTTAGAAGTATTTTCATTTGTCTCAAAAGCTGCAACGAGAAAAGAGTGCCTTAACACGCACTATTACAAGACATTTAAAAAACAAACGCAAAATAGACGTTCTTAAATGTAATAACATCAATAAAAATCAAAATAATGTAATAAAAAATTTTGTATATAAAAATAATATATTAGTTAAACCCAGATGTTTTAAGTCAAGGTAATCACTTGGAAAACAAATTTAAAAGAAATAATATAGATAGTTTTGCAAATTATTCTTATTCACAGGTTCTTCAGCTTAGAGACGTAAACTCAATGTTAATAATAAAATGGTAACAATCTTAGAAATTATTACAAAGAATTGTTTCAATTAAAACCTATGACTTTCAGATGTAATTGACTAAGCTGAAAATAGGTATGATTTCGTGAAAAAGCTGTCAAACCTTGGATTGTTTTCACAGACAAAAAGAAACTGGTTGCAGTATGATACAATGACACCTTTTATATATTTTTTTAAAAAAGATAAAAATTAAAATAATAAATTAACAGTTTTGTACTAAACTTGTATCGTTTTGTTTTCAATTTTAAATAAACAAAACTTTTTAAAAAAGTTTAAAAATGGCAGAATTTTTTTTTTTAAATAGTTCGAAAGAGTTTGAGTTTTAAATAAATTAATAATTTTAAACTTCAAGATCATATACAAAATAAAACTAAAAAAACTACGGTCTAAAGTTTCATTTATAACTCTCTAATTTAAATTTAAACTCACAATCGTGAATTTCAAAACATAATAATTTACATTACTATTACAAAACCTTGTTTAAATTTACATTATTATTAAAAAATAACTAGCAAAAAACATTAAACAAAGAGTTATATAATATTTTACGTAAAATTAATTATTAAAAGATTTTATTTAAGCCTTTTTAAGTTTATTAACTTTTCATTTAATCTTTATAAAATGAATATACTGCATTATGCTAATAAGCTGTTACAGGATATATGTATTTTGAAAGTAAATGTCAATTTCTATACTAAATATATTTTTGTTTTAATTTACGTATATAAAAACTATTAGCAATATCTAATATACTTTATGCATAAAGAAGGCATCATTCTATACCCAAAAATGTCATTTACTTCAATGCTACAAAAATGGATATACCGCATTTTTAAAATAAATTCTTTAATTAAAGTTAAAAATAAAAATATCTTAAAAAAAAAACAATATACAAAATGTTTTTTGTAAAAGTGATTTATTTAACAATGAACATGACTTCAATAATTATTATAATTTTATTATTATTTAAGTAATTATATTATGAAGAGTCATTTAAAGAACTATACTTTTTTTTTTATACTTTTTTTTTTAATTTTTTTTTTTTATAATTTTTCTAGATATTTTTTATTGCTCATTTTTATGGCGCCTCTACTTAAGGTGAGTACTTTGAAGGTGCTCTGCTTGGCCCCTACTTAAAGGTGTCCGTACGCCCCTACTTGAGTTGAGTACTTTGAGGTGAGTATTTTGAGGTGAGTACCTTGAAATGAGTACTTTGAAAGAAATATTAACTATTTTTTTTTTTAGATTCTTTCAAAATTAACCTATTAAATTTTTCTAATTTACGAAATTTATTTAAGATATATAATGTTATTCTAAGTGCACTAATCTCTTAGAAAAGACGTGTTTAAATAAATAGTAACATAACAAAAATATCATTGTTCCTCACTTTGCTCTTTGCTATATTCGTAATACAAAACTATTTTTTATGGACAATATACGTGAAAAAAGTTTAATATTTACACAAACTTATTTGTTGTTGTAATTAGGTGAGTTTTACTCAGTTTTATTATCGAAAACAAATTTTCTCTAGGTGAATATAATAAGAACCTAGGTCATTTTAAATAGTTTTAGTTCAAAATCTACTATAGTATTTTACTATAGTGCAAGAACTCTTAGGGTAAACAATTTAGCCAAATTAAGACCAAATTGATGTTAAACATGAAAATTGATAACTTGTAAATATATTTTTAAATAATATCTAAATATACATATATAAATATTATTCCTACTCAGTCCTCGAAGTTTAAAACTAAGTTTGCTAAAAAAGAAATAAACTTACATAATAAAGAAAAAACATTCCAGGATTTAAATAAGTGAAAATGTATGATGATTCATTTTGAAAAACATTCTACAAACAGATAAAAATAAATTTAATTGTCATTTGTATCGTAAAATTTATAAGTTTAGTTCACATAGTTAACAACATAATGAAAAATTGTAATTCGAACAATTTTTATTATAATTAATTAACAGCTAAAAATCAAAAAAATAAAAACTTAACGCTTACAGGTATATAGGCTGTTTGAAATATTACTGAATAGGGTTCTACATCCATTGGCTGAGCATAACTCTGAAAGTAGGTAATCTTGTATCCTTTGATTGGATATACAGAAGGAGGTGTATACCATAACAGTGTAATGTTATAAAATGGTGAGCTAGAATTTGTTCCATTTTTCTTTTCATAGAATAACTCACTTATGTTATATCTTTGAAGTATCGATGCAGCAGTTGGCGCTATAAATGAATAATGATTAAGCTAGAACGATACAAATAAATCATCAGTTGTTACATATACAGATAAACCTATCTTATTAAGGCTTCAGTGTTGACATGCCTCTAATGTTTATGTTTTTTTTTTATATCATTTATTTAGTTAACTAAACAAATATTCAAAGTTGCGTGTTTTAAAATATATATAAATATGGCTAAACAAGACAGGTTTTTCTTACCGCAAAGTCCCAGGTTTTTCTAGAAATTTGAATAAATAAGTTGTAACATTTTTATTAATTTTAATTAACATTAAAATTGCGAGAAAAAAAAAAAATGTTAAAAAAAAATTTATATAAAATACAAAAGAGTTTGATAGAGTCTTTTAAAGTTATTTCTAACAAAAGTAAGAATGTAATTTAATCACAATAACATAAAGATTAACTAAAGCTCATGCAAATTTATATATATATATATATATATATATATATATATATTATATATATATATATATATATATATATATATATATATATATATAAATATATATATATATATATATATATATATATATATACATATACATATATATATATATAAATATATATATATATATATATATATATATATATATATATTATATATATATATGTATATATATATATATATATATATATATATATATATATATATATATATATATATATATATATATATATATATATATATATATATATATGTATATATATATATAAATTATTTATTTAAATGTGTTATTTTATTAAAAAATATATATTCTTTATATTAATTTTTTTTTTTTTTTGTGGTATATTATATTTCATTTTTAACTTTAACTGCATTTACATAATCAAAATATAAAATATTAAAAAAATTAAAAAATTAAGGGCTACACTAAAATGTCCCCGATTATGCTAATGTACCCTAAAGTGTTCGTTTTATATAAACTTAGTCCCGTAAGTTAAAAACTACACATATATATATATATATATATATATATATATATATATATATATATATATATATATATATATATGTATATATATATATATATATATATATATATATATATATATATATATATATATATATATATATATATATATATTATATATATATATATATATATATATATATATATATACTCTTGCATAGTAGTCACAAAGTTTTTCCCATAAACTGCAGTTTTAAAAAGCACGTTAATAAACTTCGAATAAACTTTTTTTTTTTTTATGATAGACTGCCTGCCCAAACCAAAACCTCAGTCGATGTAGCAGCACTCCCTTGCGAGTCAGGCTATTTGTCAGTCGTTGTAGCAACACTCCCTTGCGATTCAGGCAATTTGTCAGTCGTTGTAGCAGCACTCCCTTGAGAGTCAGGGTATTTGTCAGTCGATGTAGCAGCACTCAAGAGCCGAGGTAATTAAAATTGTAGTCGAAAGAGACTTTTTTTCCATTAAAGTCTCTTTCGTCTACACTATAAGGACATATATATATATATATATATATATATATATATATATATATATATATATATATATATATATATATATATATATATATATATATATTATATATATATATATATATATATATATATATATATTATATATATATATATAGTATATATATATATTATATATATATACATATATACCCATACAGCAAGCTTATATTAGCCTAACGTAAGTTTTACATTGGCAAGTTTTTTCCGTTGGGCCAACATTTTGCCAATGTTTTTTTTTCGACGTAATATTGCAATTCTACAAATCGGTTTTTTGCAATTACCGTTCTACCGTAGAACGAACTTCTACGTCTGGACAACGTTTAACCAATGTAATTTTGGCTTAACATTTTGCTATAAAAATCTGTTCTTACATTTATGCCGTAGGCATTTTTTAGCCATGTAGTTGCGGATTAGTAAATAATTTTAAACTTGTAGCTAAACACTTTTAAAGATGGTATCGTTTGACAGAATAAAAAATGGTTTTGATATTATCTTTTCATTTTTTTTAATTATAAAAATATAAAAAAAAGAATTTATAATTATGAATCTTCTAAGAATCTTCAAAGGTTCCTTATTAGAAATAAATTACAAGAGATTCTCTTGACTTTTTTTTTTTTAATAATAAAATAAGTATATGAATATGTGTGTATGTATATGTGTATTTGTGTGTATGTATGTTTGCATACATATGTATGTATGTACGTATTTGTATATACATGTGTATAATGCACATGCAATGTATGTGTATGGTTATATATGTAGGTATGTGTATAAATGCGTCTTATATAACAATAACAAAAGATTCTGAAGAAAAAAATACTTACTGAAATAAAATAATACCTACAAATAAAATTATCAACAAAATAATTAAAAATAAAATTGTTAAAAAAATTAAAAAATACTTAAATTTTTTAAAATGTTAATATATTAAATACATTAAATGATACATTAAATTTAATTTATAAAGTAAAAATACAGTTAAACAAAAATTAAACTTAAAAATTAAAAAAAAAAAATGTATATGTGTATGTATATATTTATGTAAATATTTATACATATGTAAATGTATGTGTATATATGTATATGTGTATGTGTGTGTGCATATATATATATATATATATATATATATATATATATATATATATAGATATATATATATATATATATATATATATATATATAATATATATATATATATATATATATATATATATATATATATATATATATATATATATATATATATATATATATATATATATAGATATATATATTTATATATATATTTATATATATATATGTGTGTGTGTGTGTTTGCGTATGTATCTTTATATGTGTGTGTGTGCATGTATGTCTATTTATGTATGTATGTATGTATGTGTATGTATACATGTGTGTATGTATACGTATGTGTGCATGTGTATGTATGCATATGTGTGTGTGTAAGCATATGTGTGTGTATGTGTGTGTGTATGTATGCACATGTGTATGTTTGCATGTATATATGTATATGTGTGTATGTATGTAGGTATGTATGTATATACA